CCCTGTGATGGACTGGAGACCTGTCCAGGTGTCCCTGTGATGGACTGGAGACCTGTCCAGGTGTCCCTGTGATGGACTGGACACCTGTCCAGGTGCCCCTGTGATGGACTGGAGACATGTCCAGGGTGTCCCCTGCTGCACAGTGACTGCTGGACATGGGCACAAGTGACCCCCACAACCCAAAAAGGAAGAAGTAGGTAAAGATGACGGATGGATGGATGAATGGATGGATGGATGGATGGATGGGTCACCGTTGCAAGTGAACTCACACTCAGGGGCCGAGATGGGGCAGAGGCGGGGCAGCCAACCTGGGACCCGAAAGTCCCAGGTTCGATCCCCAGTACATGTCGTGGTGTCTCTGAGCAGGACACCGTATCCCCAGTTGCGCCATGGGCACTTTCAGTAACTGCCCACTGCTCCACCTGAGTGTATCCCAGGTGCAATGGTTTAAACGCAGAGAGCTTATTTCACCATTGCATGGGAACATACAATGATGACAACACATAACACATTATTTACAGAGGATTTGGTTTGAGGCCGGATGCCCAGCCTGACTCAATCTGGGCTTGAACCTCCAACCTCAGGGATAAACTGCATCACTGACCACTGAGCTACCACAGCTGTCTGTCCAGAAATGTACAGTAAAGATTTTTTTAACAAAGTTCTGAGGCGTCACGATAGAAAAAGAGGGTGAGCATGAGCGGGGGAACAAATGGGAGCCTGGGGTAAAGCTGTAAGGAGTAAATACTGGTTTCAACCTATAATTCAGGCAACAGGTCAATTATCATGAATATGAACGAGACAGGATCAATGCACTAACAGGTAAATAAAACGGAGTGTGGGGGAGGTAAGACGAGAGATGGAAGGAAGGAAACAAGATAAAGAAAGGCCTGACAATGGCAGTTTTATTTCTTTATTTCTTTATTTTAGGTCAAATTAACCTTTAAACTTGATCTTTCAAGTCTACCACTATAATCCACAGCAACCATCGCTCCCATCATTATCACTTATACAGATGATTAAATCTACAGCTGCAGGAGTTTATTTTCCAGAGGTGTTCTTTGTCTCATCTATTCTGCATCCATTATTGTCCCAGCTGCTAGCACATCAATGTTTTGATAGCCTCAATTATTTATGCACGAGCAAACAAAGAAAATGTTACATTAATTATAATCCACATACATCTGTGAATCAACGAGCTAGATTCCTCTCCTCTGATGTTCAAAGGGGTTTTTCATATTTAGTTCTGTGGTTTAGCACCAGGATGAAGGAGTTCAGTTTTAGATTCAGCAGCACTACTTATTAATGCAAACAGACTTTGTTATTGAGCACGTGCACTTTAATTTCAAGGTTTCTGGTCCTGCAGCTCCAAGCAGATCTTAAAGTCTGAAACAGACACAACTATAGATCTACACTTGAAATTATGAAAAAAAAAAAATCAGCTCTCGTTATTTTTTAATTAACTATTTTCATACAAACCACAAGTGGATTTTGTTTTTCTCATCAAAAATAAAATGTACTTCTCCAAATAATTTAAAATGTCATACCAGCAGAGAAAAGGTCAAGATACAGAAAGTTAGCAAACCAAATTACAATTATAAAGTGGCATGAAACCTAATCCTGATGTGTTCAGAGCAAAGTTGCAACGTCAGAACTTATTAATATGAGACAGACAGCATGGACCTGTTTTATGAAAAAAAGACACACACACAGAATAAGTTGTCTGATCCATAAATATATTTTGCTAACTGGCACTCAAAATGAAGGTGAAATACTGAATAATTACAGAAAATAACATTGCATCAGCTCCTCCTTGAATCGCCACCGTATCGTGGTGGAGGAGTTTGTGTGCCTGAATGATCCTAGGAGCTCTGCTGTCTGTAGGGACACCCGAGGCAGACTGGTTCTGGGTGACAGGTCAGACAAAGAGCGATTCCAAAGACTCTTAGGGAAATGAAACAGCAAGGAACTCTGTGTCCCTTGCCCAGATGTGGGTTACCAGGGACCACTCTGGAGCCAGGTCTGGGAGAGGGGCTTTTCGGTGAGCGCCTGGTGACTGGGTCTCTACCCATGGGGCCCGGTCAGGCTCAGCCCGAATGACCAACATGGGTTTGCCTTCCTGTGGGCCCACCACCGGCAGGAGGAGCCATATAAGTCGGGTGCATGACTCCATGGGTAGTGGCTGAAGGTGGGGACCTTGGCGCTCTGACCATGGCTTACCAAAGCTGGCTCTTGGGACATGGAATGTGACCTTTCTGGTGGGGGAGGAGTCTGAGCTTGTGCGTGAGGTTGAGAGGTACCAACTAGATCTAGTTGGGATCACCTCGACACAAAGCACGGGCTCTGGAATCGATCTCCTTGAGAGGGGCTGGACCTTATTCCACTCTGAAGTTGTCCATGATGAGAGGCGTCAAGCTGGTGTGGGTCTACTCTTAGTCCCTTCACTTGCCACCTGTGTGTTGGAGAAGAGATTAGAAGAGAGGGAAGTTTCTCTGCGCCTTCAGGTGGGGGGACGGGCTCTGACTGTTGTTTGTGCCTATGCACCGAACCGCAGTTCAGAGTGTCCACCTTTCTTGGAGTCCTTGGTGGGGGTGCTGGTAGGTGCACCAAGTGGGGACTTCTTTATTCTACAAGGGGACTTCAATGCCCACGTGGGTAATGACAGTGTGACCTGGAGAGGCGTTATTGGGAGGAATGGCCTCTCTGGTCTGAACCTGAGAGGGTTCTGTTGTTGTCAAGTGGTGCGAGAGCTTGGTTCTCATTGCTGGCAGTAAGTCAGACCGCTTCAGGGTGGGAGTTGGACTCTGTCAGGACTGCCCATTGTCACCGATTCTGTTCACAACTTTTATGGACAGAATTTCTTGGTGCAGCTGGGGGGGGTGGGGTGGGGGGGTGGCGGGTTTCCAGTTCAGTGGCCTCAGGATTTCATCTCTGCTCTTTGCAGATGATGTAGTTCTGTTAGCGTCATCGTGCCATGACCTTCAGCTCTCACTGGAGCGGTTCGCAGCCAAGTGTGAAGCGGCTGGGATAAGAATCAGCACCTCCAAATCTGAGGCCATGGTCCTGAACCGGAAAAGGGTGGATTGTTCTCTTCAGGTTGAGGGTGAGGTTCTGCCTCATGTGGAGGAGTTCACTTATCTCAGGGTTTTGTTCATGAGTGACGGAAGAATGGAGCATGAGATTGGCAGATGGAGTGGTGCAGCGTCTGCAGTATTGTGGACTCTGTACCGGCCCGTTGTGGTGAAGAGGGAGCTGAACTGTAAGACAAAGCTCTCTGTTAACCGGTCAGTCTACGTTCCTCCCCTCACCTCTGGTCATGAACTCTGAGTAGAGACTGAAATAATGAGATTGTGGATATAGGAGGTTGAAATGAGTTTCCTCTGCAGGGTAGCTGGACTCTCCCTTAGAGACAGGGTGAGAAGCTCAGTTATCTGGGAGAGACTTGGAGTAGAACCGCTGCTCCTCCACCTCCAGAGAAGCCAGTTGAGGTGGTTCGGGCATCTGGTAAGGATGCTCTCTGGACGCCTCCCTAGGGAGGTGCTTCTGGCATGTCTGACTGGGAGGAGACCCCGGGGAAGATCCAGGACACACTGGAGAATCTATGTCTCTCAGTTGGTCTGGGAACGCCTTGGAATCCTCCTAGAAGAGCTGGAAGAGGCTGTGGAAAGAGAGGTCTGGACCTCCCTGCTCAAGATGCTGCCCCTGAGACCTGAGTCCATAACAAGAGGAAGATGATGGATGGAACACTGCATCAGTCTTCTACAGGATTAGGAATATTTAAAAACCATTATTGCTCAAAATAACAATAACTAAAGTTCCAACAATTTTCAGTCAGGTCATTTGGACAGTTTTTTTTTTTTTCTGAAACGTTTCACCTTCCATCCAGAAGGCTTCATCAGTCAAGGAAGCGCACAACACAAAACTGATTCTTCCCCCAACAGCTTACTTCAAAGTGGAACAAACCAGTTATGTTGGTGCTAAGATGGTGTCTTTGGCACGCCCCCTCCTCTGTCGCCGGCCCTCTCCCTCGTCAACATTCATGTCAAACTGGTTCAAAACCAAAAAAGTCCATGCTCAACAATCCAGGTACACAATCCAATGATTTTCAGTCAGATCATCTGGACAGTTTCCAAACTAAAGTGATTTAGTAAAATAGAACTGCACTGACTTTAAGACTAAAAAAATCAAGCAATTAAACAGAAACCCTCCAAAAGCTCTTAATAAGTTGTCAACATGAACTTTAATAAGTCAAAGCTCTTTTCAGTGACGTGGGCTTGCACCTCATTGGAAATAAGTAAAATAAGTTGTTTGGAAAACATCATTTTATTAAAAACAGTAAAACTAAACTCTTTAAACCTCAGGTGCATCCCTTTGGAAAGCTGCGCCCAGTGATCCACGTTCACTTTCATTCAGACATTTTCTAGATCAGATCTAACGATGAAGACAAAGGGCTGAAATAGTTTTAACCAGAGCATTTAGAAACTTTGCAGGTGCAGAATGAAACGTGTTTCGCACCACGCTCAAATTTTAACACGAAGTCTGAAAATTAGCTGCGGCGTCTCCAGTTCTAAAGAAACGTCACTAACAGAAACCTGACGGCTGAAGGAGCAACGAGGCAGGAGAGCCGGTTCCTCAAGAACCGTCTGCACAGAAACTCCTCGTTCTTTTAGTCGTTTAAAGTGAAACGTTGTCACGGACAGACTGAACAATCCATTTGATTTCAATTAACCTCCAGGTTAATTTCACTTCCTGTTTGCTTTTCCTTCTCGTCTCCACCGTGCACCAAACGTTGTCTGATCAGCTCCGCTTCTTCACTGAAAAAGCAAAAGAGGCCTCAGGTAATTAAATGAAGGAGGAAGCTGACAGGGAGGGTGCTTTCATTAATCTTTCTCTTTCCGAGCCTCATTGTCTGTTTCTTACTCCCTTCTTCTTTTTATTTTTAAAGCTAACTGAAAGGCAGAGATCAGAGGAAGCTGTGGCTCATATCGATTTGCACCTCTAAAGGTGCGGTCAGATCTTCTGCACCAGCCATCCATCTCGCTGCTGCTTTCACTTTTTGGCTCTCGTGGTTTGACTCCTCTTTTGCTCTTTATTTTTCCTGAACCTCAGCTGAACGATGGAAAAATAATTTTTCCTGTAGGTGTATTTGTTGACAGTCGGTGGTTCTGAAAGAACTCTTGTTAATCAGGAGTTAAAGTTCACGACCGCTGAGCTCCTTCTCATAGAAACACTCATCTTCACCGAGGTGTCAAGTGGATGGAGCGACTCCTCCAAACATTTTCCTCTCATACTGAAAACGACCTGACGCTCTCATTTATGCAGCGTCATTCATTGTCACAAATCAATAACAACCTCCCCCCCCCCCCCCCCAAAAAAAGAACACAAAGTTAACATCTGTTTTTAACTTTGTCCGCGCTCAGTAAGCTCTTGTTTTAGCCCGACAAGCTGATGAAATGAAAAATTGATTGGGATCAATACTGCTATTGGCTGGAGCAGAGTGTGGTCTATTTGATCAATATGTGAACAGCGTGTGAGCCGACCGTTTCCTGTTGATGACAATCAATACACTGGGTTTGCAAATACCAGGCTTCGTTTAATTGTGATCAGATCTGTTCACATCTTTACGTCAAACATTCGAGGAGGAAAATATGAAAAAAACAATCAAACCTAAACGACTGTTGACAAGATTCAGTTTGTAAACATTTTATTTGTTTATGAAAACACTAATAAAGATAAAAAAAGATCAATAAAGATCAATAAAGATCAATAAAGATCAATAAAGGTATCAATAAAGCCAAATCTTAAGGAATAAATTGTAATGTCCCATTTCAGAAAGTTGAATTTGATTGGAACAGAAGCAAAACAAAAAGAAACAAATAAAAAGAGACAGAATGCAACATTTTAGATATACCAGTTATTTTTAATTATAAACAGTCAAATCATCAACATTCCACCTCCTTCAAGTTACCCACTGCAGAAATAACTAATAATTGTAGTGAGTAAATATTATTGACTTAGACCAATGGATCAATTCACAAAATCGTCATTTTGATTCAAAACACAACTATAACACAATAAAAATAAGATTTTCATTAAACGGAACGTTTTCTTTCTAGATGAAGCAGTTATGTGAGAGTTTAATAAATCTGAGCTTGGTCAATCTTTTGGGCTGATTGTTTATTTTACTCAGAATGAGTGTGGACTGCACCTATACAGCTCCTTTCTATCTATTCAAGACACTCAAAGCTCTTTACAACAACCTGTGCCTCATTTACCCGTTCATGCAACACTCTATACATCTATACAAAGAATAACCAGTGCTTTGTTATATTCAAACACAGAATAATCCCAGTTATGAATATGAAATATGATCCATTTTACTGTTTGGATTGGTCAAACTGGTTTTATTCTGTAAAAGTTAATTTGTTTTGTGTAGCGATCGTCAGATTGACTTGAATTCAATGACTTTCAGTGAAATATTGCACATGAATTAGTTAATATAACTTGTGTGTTGCTCCTATCAAATCATTGAAACGATCTGAGACAAGATGGATTTAACTAAACCAGCAGAAAATATTTTATACATTCGACAAAACATTAAATTTAAGTTCAATCAACCCAATTCAACTGTTAAATTGAGGTAATCCTCAGTTACCTCGGAATGAAGAAGTCCTTTGGATGAAGGACGAAATGTCTAAAAAAAAAAAGAATCCATCCAGATGAACTGACTTAACTTTGTTGGATTATTTACCTGGATTATTGGGCATGAACTTTGGTTTGGTGGTAATCCTGAACTAAGCTTTAATTGTTACACATAAACAACATAAATGATTAGAAATCAATATAACTGTGTGGTAAAATGATAAAAGCATGTTTTTATTGAACAATATACTGTTTTGAGTTTATGATTCAAATAGACATCCGTCCATCATCATCTTTACCCGCTTCTTCCTTTACGGGTCGCGGGGGTCAATGGTGCCCATGTCCAGCTGTCACTGTGTGAGAGACAGGGGACACCTGGACAGGTCTCCAGTCCATCACAGGGACACCTGGACAGGTCTCCAGTCCATCACAGGGACACATAGAGACAAACGAGACAAACAACCATTCATCTAGGGACAATTCAGAGTTACCATCAGTCTAACATGAATGTTTTTGTCTGTGGGAGGAAACTGGAGCACCTGGAGAAAAGCCACGCAGCACGGAGAGAACATGCAGACTCCTCCCAGAATGGTCCCCAGACCGGGATTTGAACCAGCAACCTTCTTGCTGAGAGGCAGCAGCTGTACCGACTGAGCCACCGTGCTGCCCTCAAATAGAACCAACAAGAATAAATCTTTTGCCAAAGTGAAACAATAAGTTTATGTGGAAGAAACACATGATCCACACGTGGGTTGTGTTTTGATACTTTGCAGTAAAGTGACTTGAAATAATCCGTTTACAACAGAAATTATGATCTGAAGAACTTTTCATGTAGAAAAGAGTTTTAATTTGAGGCTCACAGAATGATCATTTAAATACCAGCTTAGTCACTTTCCTGTTTTTTTTTTAAAGAAGTCAATTATTAATTATTATTCATTTGTTGCATAAAATGGATAATCCTAATTCTTGTCTCTAATTTCATTTGAATGTTCATATTTGTTGTAATCCTCATGTTATTCTGAATCCACACATGGGATTCATTCATGCCAGGCTGGTCGTCAGACGTGTCCCTGGAGATTTCAGTCCCATCATTTCTGTGGACAGTGTTGTAAATGAATCAAGATCCATTTAAAACAAGATGTTTGCTCTGAAACATGGAATCAGCTCCATAAATGTAATGTACTGCTCTAAGAGAACTTGCCTCTGTGTAATGGACAGCTCTGGTCAAATCAGTCATTGGATTAGCTTTCACAGAATAATTTAGAGAAGTGGCTCTTGTCATGTTGTAGACTCAATTGTTCTAAGCTCTTGTTAGTGAACATTACTGGGAAAAGAAATGACATACATTAACTTTATTTTGCACATCCATTATTAAGATTTTTCATCCCAACCTTTTGATTAGTTTTTTTGTTTTTGCATCTATGTCTGCTGCACTGTTGGTCCAGCTGGAGCCGCCTGATGAAAAACGAGGATTCTGTTTTAAATAAAACTTGTGGATTTATGCGCGTGCTCTTTGGGTGGTGGAATAAAGGAGTGTGTCCTACCAGAGCTGAAAAAAGAAAAGTGCTGCTCGTGTGGAGAACTGTTGCTTCTAAAAAGACATGACCTGCTTTGATTTCCTCTGTGTGAAAATAGAATTCAGAAACCTCAAGTCTGAGAAATGGAATTAAGGGTTTAAATTAAAGCCCACCTACATAAAACACACTCATGGCGCAGAGCTCTTGATCGTGGCAGAAAAACTGCCTCCAATAATGTCCTGGTAATCAGGTTCTGTCCTCAGAATTCTTTATTTCACATTAATAGAACTGTTTTTATAATCATCTTCACATCGTCTCTTAAAGAAAGGCACATGTATTTTACCCAGAACTCACCTTGGACTACAAGACGTCCTTGAGCTGTCCTGCGGACGCGAGTTCCTGGTTTGTTCGCAGCACACACGTAGACCCCCGAGTGCTGCACGCCAACGTCTGAGATCATCAGGTTCCCCGTGCCCAGAACCTGAATTCCCTCCACCCCAATGGGCCGACCGTCTAATCAGGTGAGAGAGAAGTTGACAAAATTAGGGCAACAAAAAAAGGCCAGGTGTGCACGTGTGCAGCTCGTGTCAGGGATTAACAGGTGTTTGTTTTGAGGATTAGAGTGAGATTAAAATACAGGCTAAATTTAATGCATTAATTCCACGGGAAGCTGACAGACACGGTGCTATTTCTGTCCCTCAAGGATGCAGCGTTTCCTGTGAGCGATGCAGCGAATTCTAATGTGCCGAAGCTTCTGATGCAACAAGCAGCAGGAAGGTCACGGAGGTTTGGTTTGCTCTGAGCGCATGCACAGCGCCGCCGCTTTCTCATTTCTGTCAGCAGATACGTAGAACAAACCGCTTGTTTATGCATTTAACATGATTTTAGCTTCTCCTTTGAGAGTACCATTTATTAAAACATAAGGAGAAAAGTTTTGGTACATTCATTTTAGAATATTTAGTTTTTTAACAGAGAAGCTTCAGCTGCTCTGGGAGCAGAAACTTTGGCTGCTACTTGTCCTCTGTTTCCTTACACAATCCCTGTTTCTGCTCTCGCTGCAATTACACGATAAGCTCAGACTTTGCTGCGCCTCCATGTCTGTGGTGTCAAACCCAACATGACTTCAGTCTGCTCTCATATTAGCTCTGGGGCCAAGGGGCAATCTAATCCCATCTACAAAGTACCACTTCCATCTGCAGCTGGATGGTCCACACCTGATGTGTTAAAAGGTGGTGGTGGTGTGGGGGATGTTGTCAGACGCATGCAGAGACAACAGCACGGGTCAAAAGCCGTACAGGTAATATTTTATTATTTATTAACCTTTATTTAATAATGTGCAGTGGTGGCTGAATGCTGAGTCACATTTATGTTATCCTGCGTTCTTTGCTACTGAAATACTTCCAAATATTTGTGGTTTTAATTTACCAGTCATGAATCAACATGTTTGTCTTGATTGGGAAAAATGTGCTATGACTTCATGTTTTTTGAATTATTTCTCTTTCTTTACAAACATTTTCTTCAAATAAATAGAGTATATTGAGATCTATATAATTTTTCAAAACACAGTTGTCTGAACCTTTCTCGGGCACACGTGCTCTTTGTCGTCTCTTCACTACTAACTTTTAGCTACTGTGTTGCTCTGTTTAGATTGAAGCTACAATTTAACTCATTTTACAAGTTTTTGCAAAAGTTTGACCAATTTTAGTTTTTTAGCAACTGTTTTGTTAATTACATGTCTTTGATGGTGGCAGTCTTCAGGCAGGTCCATATTAATTGGATTTACGATAACTGGTTCCTGCTTTTTGGATTTGGCTGGTTGCTGGTTTTATCTACAGTCAAGGAAGTCGTCGGCAGCAAATTTGGACCCGATCACGCTGCTTGCCTTTATGATGGCTTGGTTCGTGCCTTGAGTACCCAGACTCAAATGCTTTGGGTTGAATGGATCAGATCTTGGGGGTTTTACTCAGTAACGTTCCATCAGTGTGGCCATGTAATTTGGACATTTCAGAACCGAGTGGACCAAACACAGACTCAAGGTTGATGTAATTAAGTTCTGCCTGTCCCCAAAACAATTGTGTGTTTATCTGAATTTAGCTTCCTTGACTGGTCTTGAAGGCCATCTTATCTGAATTCACCTGGAGAACATGTGATCTGACGTTCACCACCCCCTCCCTGAGGAATTTCCAACTGATAACCAGATGAACCAGCTGAATAAACTTGGGTCATCATTTCAGGTCTCTTGGATTCTCATAGACGTTATTCTTGGCCATTCCTCGACATCCCTCGAGAATGTTTATGGATCTCACTGGAGGACATTGATTGATTATTACATCCTATCAGAACTCTTACAGTGACCTCGAGAGCATCTATGAACATTCTCACCGCTCTCTCGTCTCCCCCCTCTGCAGAATGTCTACGTCACTATGTGCTTGTTTGTGCGAGGTGTTTTTTAATATCAGGTTTTTTGTCTCAGACAGAAAAAAAAGTCTGATAGGAATTTTTTTTCACCTCCAACTCCAACATGTGTCCAGTTAACCACTGTTTTTGTCTGTCCAAACAGGTCTCACTTGTAAATGAGTCTTTGAGGCTCATTGTGATTTATCTGTTTAAATAAAGATTGAATGAACTGTCTCCAGGGTAAGTGAGGTGTTAAAGATGTCTGCCAGCACCTCACAGAACTGATCAGCACATTCTTTCAGCGCCTTCCTGGGATGTTGTCTGGGCCAGTTGCTTTGTGAGGGTTAATCCTCCTGAAGGTCCTCTTCACTTGGGCTGAGATCATGCTGAGAAGCACTTCTTCAGGTGATGAGGTGAGTCTGGTGCTGGGTGGTCTGTTTGGGTCTTCAAAGCGTGCGTAGAACTTGTTGAGGGCATCGGGCAGAGATGGGTCTTTGGGGCCTTGTTCACTCCTGCCTTTATAATCTGTTATACACTAAAAGTCCCTCCACATGCTCCGTGGGTCTTGGGAGGTGAATTGACCCTCAATCCTCTTTGCATCTGTGGCCTTGGCCGTCTTAATACCAGCAACCAGCTATTTTCTTGTTCTTCTCAGCTCCTGTGAGTTCCCAGACCTGAAGGCAGTGTTCCTGGCTTCCAGCAGGGTGTGAACCTCTGCATTCAGCCAAGGCTTCTTGTTGGGTAACTTTTAACATATCTGATGGTGACGTCATCAGTACATTAGGACATTTTATAAAACCATATAAAATGAAAACGTAAGGAAGAAATTATATAAAAACTAAACAAAAACAGCTACATTATAAAGTGATATATATTTTTTTTCATTTAGCCTTTATTTATCCAGGTTAGTCTCATTGAGCCACGAGAACTCATTTTCAAGAGAGACCTGTTAAGGGAGCACATGGTGGGGGTTAAGGGCCTTGCTCATGGGCCCAGAGTGGGGCGAATGAGGGTGGGGGTAAGTGTGAGTGTTTCACCTACCCCACCCACAATTTTTGATGTTGTCGGGGCCGGGGCGTGAACTGGCGATCTTCGGATCACAAGCCCACCTCTCTAACCTCTGCGCCACCACTCCCCATATATAAAATACTAAAAACAGGAACATGTCTGAGATGTTTTCTCCAGGAACTTAACAGATGTTTGAAGTCACTTAGAGAGGTCAAAGGTCGAGAGCTTCAGATCTTTTTACAAGATATTCCAGGAAACAGGAGCAGAGTAGAAGGCCCTTTTGTCTAGTTCAGTCCTCACTGAGGGAACACTGCAGGTAATGATGTCCTGAGAGCGCACGCTGTAGCTGCACTCACACAGAGACATGTAGGAGGAGATGTATGAAGGCAGCAGACCAGGAAGTGATTTAAAGATGAAAATGTACCAGTGAGAGAGTCTGTGTGAAGTTAATGGTGACCAGTTAACCAGTGAATACTGGGTGCAGTGGTGGGTACGGTAGTTACAGCCAGTTATGAATCTTAGTGCACCATGATAGACAGCATCCAACATCTGCAGCATCCAACATCTGCAGCATCCAACATCTGCAGCATCCAACATCTGCAGGGTTCTTGTAGGAGCGTTCATGTAAATAATGTCACCGTAATCAATGGAGGGAAGGAAAGTCACAGATACAAGGTGTTTCCTAACATTCAGGGTTAGACAGGATCTGTTTCTGAAAAAGAAACCCAGTTTAACTTTCAGTTTCTTTATCAAGTTTTCCACGTGAAGCTTAAAAGAGAGATGTGAGTCGACCAAGATACCCAAATATTTATAGGAATCAACAAACTCAATGGGGACACCATTTGAGGATAAGATCAGAGAAAGAACTGCTGGGACCAACTTCCTGTTTGAAAAATGCATCCCTTTGGTTTTGTCGGCATTTAGGACAAGTTTGAGGTGGAACAAATCTATCTGGATGTTGTTAAATGCAGATTTCAAAAGCTGGAACGCCTTATCAGCTGTTTTAACTCGACAACAAACAACTGTGTCATCAGCATAGAAATGTAAAGATGCATCAATGATGCTCTGACCTACATTACCTACGTAAATTGTAAAGAGGGTGGGTCCTAAGACTGAGCCTTGTGGTACACCATTGCTAATTGTTAAATAACTGGAGGAAGTACCATTATGTTGAAGACATCGTATAATTTTATCTTTTATCTAGAATGATCTAAATTTAGTTTTTAGCTATTATTCTGCTACATTTAGGAAATGTTTTGCTATATTTACCTTTCAGCTACCATTTGGAAATTAAATCCTTTAGCAACAATTGTGCCTTTTTAGCTTTAGACTAACTACTTTTGTATCTTGTAGCTACTTTTTTTATTGTAGCTTTCAGTTATGGGTTTCCTAATTTTAGCTTTTTGCTACAGTTTTGCTCATTTAGGTTTTTAGTGCTTATTAAGCAAATTGAGCTTTTTATTGAAATTGGTCTAATTTTAGCTTTAAGCAATAATTTAGCTGATTTTAGCTTCTTGGCATGGTTTTGCTTGTTTCTGTTATGGTTGTTTTAACTTTAACTTTTCAGTTAAGTTCTTTCTGCATCAAAGTTCAGTAAAAAGTTTTATGTAATGTTCTCTCTAGTTATTCTTTGTATTAATAAATGACGAGACAAACAGTCAAGTCGTTCTGTTTAATTATTACTAATAAAATGTGTTTTATTGATGTTTCATTGAGCGTATGAAGAATCAACAATCTCTTTGTCTCGGTGATTAAAGTCCTAGTTAATTCTTTGTTGTTTTTTTCTGTATTTTTATTTTATGTGTCTCTTTTTCCTACCTTTCTTTCAGGCAGCCACTAATTCATTTAGTGTCACGAAAGAAGGAGCACAAAGCTAGCAGGCTGCGGTGCCGCTCAATGAACTGCAGCAAACTAACTGTGGCACTAAAGAGTGACTGATGTGAAACTATCAGATTCATTATCCAGCTTATCCCGGCCTTCCTGCCATAATCTAATACACACGAATCCCATCGTGTTAGCATTTCATTCTGCCAGCGTTGTGTAAGGCAATACTGTCAATCTGATTATGCCCGACTGCCCGGGAGGGGCAACAATTTACACTGGGAACAACAAATCAGACCGGATAATAGGTAAAGAAAACAGATTGAAAAATTGTTCGGGACAGACTTTGAGTGATGGTTAAGAAAACAAATTTGCATGCTGGGAGAAGAAGCTAATCGTATCTGCTTCAGCAGCTCGTAGCAGTTAGTCAGAGTGTGTCCGGTGCTTTGAAGGAGGTTCAGCTTCACGAGGAGCTGAAGCATGAATTCATCAGCTCCGATAAAGTTGAATGTTTTGCCCTCAGGCTTAATGCTGGAACCACTGACTCGTGAATACACAAAGATTTACTGTCTAAAACGTATTTTGTGTTCACATCTGCTTTACAGAGAGAACAACGTAACCCTGTGTGATTAGCAAGAGACAAACACAGGAGGACGCACAAAGTCCCTGAGATGTTACAAACGCTCTTCAGGACTGGACTTCAGCTTTTAGACAAAATCATCACTCCACCACGGTGGGTTGAAGAAAAGCTGCTCACCCAGTCTGCTCCAAGACACAATGGGCTGAGGGTATCCTGTAGCAACACACTCCAAGATGGCCGTCTGGTGAACAGTTAGGGTCAGGTTTTCTGGGCCAACCAGAATCACAGGTTCTTTGTAAACAGATGAGTGAGAACCTGCAGGAACAGCAAAGAGACTTTCAGAAGGAAGTGAGCGAGCGCGATGGTTCATCTTTGATTTTCTTCTGACATTGGTCCAGTATGATGTGTGTCTAACTATATTTGAGAAATACCCCCCCCCCCCCCCCCCAAAGACCTGTTTTCTAACAGCTTGATAAAAAATTCTGCTGAGAAGAAAAATGAGTGTCCCTGGGAGTGAAAACCAGCCAGGACCAACCTGAAACTGTCAGGAGCGCCTCAGCGCTGTGCTTCACTCCTGCACTGTTATGAGCCACGCAGCAGAACTTCCCACTGTCCTCCTCACGCACACCTGTGATCTGCAGAACACCTGTTGGTAGGAGAGTGTACCTGAAAGAGATAAAAACACATGAAAATGAGACACAAGTTCCAAATAAACTGTCACTAAATGCTGCAGAGTCGCCCACCTGTCATCTGCAGTGTCCACAGGATGGCTGTTCTTCTCCCAGCTGATGACCGGTTCTGGCAGGCCACGGATTTGACACTGGAATCTGGCCACGCCAGACTCCTCCGCGTGCACCGACTCTGGCTGGACGTGGAAGTCTGCCATGGCTGCAGAGAGGAGGAGGAGAATTTTAGGCCATAACATCACAAAACAGCAACAGAGGATGAAGCTCTGCAACAGATGGTGTGGTCCCCACAGAGTCCTGACCCCACCTTACACCACCCAGATGAGCTTACACCAAGATGCACAGGCAACTGAGACAGACTTTAAAAACACGTTTGGGCATAAAGCTTTTTATTTCAGTGGCCCTTAGTGAAGGCAGAGCAGTGAAAACAGCAGAAAATGGATGGACCTCTATTTGAACACCACTTAAAGAAAAGTCTTCAAAATGACCCAATATTCCTTAAAGGGCTGGACATCAGCCAGGCTTTTAAACTAACAACAGTTCATGCTGCGTAATGAGCATCGCATCCATCCATCCATCCATCCATCCATCCATCCATCCATCCATCCATC